TTAGTATCCACTTCGTCGCTTTTCTATACGTTTTGCTGTAGTTCGATTTTTGTTGTTGTTGACCAGAGGATCATCAGAAAGAGTGCTGAATAATATGATAATTTATTTTTTATTAATTTATTAATATAATTATTTACTTTTATCAATTTATCAATATAATAATTTACTTTTATCAATTAATTTATATAATTAGCAGATCTTTTTCAATTTGAAATATACAGACGAACAGTTAAAACAGCATTAACTCTTTGGAAGCAGTTTGGTGGTGGAGTAATTAGCGCAGAAATTTTGAGAACACAAATGGGATTATACAAAAACTGGGAGCCTCTATTTAAAGATAAATTTATTGAATCAGTTGATAATGTTCATAACTAGTGAAATTCCTGTGAATTGCAAAAAAATGAAGACCATATTCGCACTTTAGTTTTACGATTAAATGCAATTACATCTTATAATGCAGTTTGTGAATGTGTTTTTTCTATTCTAAACTGGTATATGGGAAAATGGCATACAAAGTAATAAAATTTTCTAAATTATGTTTAATTATAATTTTAGTCTTAATATTAATTATTTTGTGTTTAGGATTAATATATCACGTCTAGAAAGTATGGTGCAAATTCACTCATACCTTGTTACTAATGCAAGAAATGAACTTAAGTTTGTTAAATCAGAAATTTCACAAGACAAATTAATGCAAGTTTTTGATGAAATCGCATATGCTATGATAGAAGAGTGTGATATGTTTGATGGTAATAATGAAAATGACTATATGGAAGAAGAATTTGTTGATAAAGAATCGAATGAAGAAGAATTGTCAGGTACTGAAAATGAAAATATTTCGCAATTAGAAATAGAAAATTTTATTTGTTTAGAGCATTGAATGTTAAATAATAATAATGATGATAGTTCTAGTAATTCTGATGTTATTAATCATGGTGATCCTAATTTTGATATTGATACTTTGCTTGATAAATTAGAATAAATAAATTTGTATTTTTTTAGCAGTCTGCTTATTGGTTTTATGAGATTACATAACAAGATTTATATTATAATGAGATTTATATTAAAAAATCTAATCTATAGTACGAACGGCATCAAATAAAATATCCAAAGATTTTTATTTCACAATGTTTTATATATTTAATGATGTTTAATTTATAATGTTCAAGAAAATATTCAATTTATAATATATACAGTAATACTGGCTGATTTATTATATAAAATTAATATCAGTGATTATTTTCTTTATAACTCTGTTATCTCAAATAGTTTGAATATATAAAAGTTATTTTTAATTTAGAATGTTATCTGATGCTATTTGGGATTTTAATTGAATTTAAAATTTTGTATCTAATTTGGGATTTGTACTTAATGCTAATTTGGAATTTGTATCTAATTTGAAATTTGTACCTAATTTGGGATTTGTACCTAATTTGGTATTTGTTCTATTTTTGACTTTAAGATTTTGATGGTGGGATTTGGGATTTGGAATTTGGTCTTATATTTTGATATTTGGGTGGCAAGTATAATCTTGCTGGATTTCAGTTAAATGGATTTAGATATATTTCAAATCAAGATTGTGGATTTGCACAGTTCCTTTATTTATTAGAGGATATCGATAATAAAGTATATAATAGAAAAGGTGGTATGTGTAGTTTGTAAAAGAAATTCTTTAAGAAATTTTACCTACAAACTATGCTAACTCTAACATGAACAAAGGGCAATATTAGCACTCACCCTAACCCTAACTATTAAAAAAGAATAACTTA